GGAGTCTTTTGACATATCGCGTAAACATCCTCGAACGCACTTAATCCGCTCGTGCATCTTCCCCCCCGACTAGTTTTTGCAACTAGCAAAAAATAAACAACAAAATACAGCACAAATATAGAACGTATAAATATGTATATTTATAAGTATATGCAAAACTATTCAAGTTTACAATTTTTCGTACACGTCGTTTGCTCTCCTCGTTTAATCTCAATGTCTCGAGCCACTTCCTTAAAGCAGGTAAAATCTGACTCGACTGCGACGGACTAGAGACGACGTGACGTGCAATTCCCGTAAAATGCATCTGAAAAAGATAGCGAAGAGAAAACGTATTGCGGGCTTGTAAGATGAAACCTAGCAGGTGATCATCGGTCGGCATCGCGGCGGCGGATCGTGATTCCGTGCCCACCTGAAAACAATAAACGGCCTGGAGGCTGCTCCTAGGACGAGAAGGAAGAAACTTAGACTCTGGCTCTCTCGAGTGAAAGTGCACAATAACCATCTATGGTTCCTGCTTGTCTGCGGGGGTTTCACTTTATGCAAGAATAACTGCATCGTGATCTTTTCCACGGGGGGTTTTGTGCAACTTTAAGTTGCAATAATTAGCGGCTGCGGCTACTAAGTAATTATACGAACGAACGGAGACTCGAGAGAGAATCCATTTGCCACCCGCAAGAAATGGGGAATTGTGAGAAGAATCTAATGCTCGAGAAATCTCATCGATGCTACTCAAAGTTATATAAATTGTTTTCCCCGTCATGATTCACGAACGCTATTTTAGATTTTAGACAATTAACCCGACACGATACTGATGAATTACACGTTCTGACAGTTGCCTTTCTTTTTGCGAACCCTTATTAAAAAAACAAATTATGGTTTTATACAAGAAAACTCATACCAATCTTAGAGAACATTAGAGGTATGTTATTATGTTTTTTATTTCTAAAACAGTTTCGGCAGAAGCTTCTAATTTACACTTCTCGAGAAATAAAAGTTCTCTGGAAAAGAGTCTTATATTCTTTTTGAGAGAGCGCAAGTTCCTAAAACCTTAGCAAATTTAATAAAAATTGACAATATATCTTTTAATTAATAAAAATTGTTCGAATAAGCGCCGTGAAAACTCATCTACTTCAAAAACGACGGACGAAATATATACTTGTGGGAAAATCTCGAAGAGATGCATGTCGCTCAGTTGTGTCTCGCACGATTTGTATAGTTCTATTATGTCTTCTTATTCAATCAAAATAACGCAACGTTAAATCTTAATTCCGCCTTGTCCCAGGGCAAGTCCCAGCGACGGAGAAAAGTCATCCATCAATCAATAATTTTTACAATTAGCGCATTCCACGAAGATGGTCCGTGAGTGCTGCCCACAATCATTATTATGTAACAACAGAATTATACACTTAGACATCCAGTGAATGGCTGGCGCGCATCCGTCTTTATCAAGCTAAGAGAGTAGGCCGGCGGATCGGAATCCGGTAGTTTCGTTCACCCATCGCGCGCATAACAATCCGGAACGTCTTTGATTGATTTCCTTGCCCGGAGCTAATGAGCATCGCCCTCTCCGTCCAAACCTAAATCAACGCGGTCAAGAAAACAGAGGTACCGAAACGAGCTCACAATGCACGAATGCGATTGCGTAACTTCTGAACGTGTGTGATGATAGAATCTCTTCGATCCGACGCTCTTTGTCATCGCCGTACACCTCGATATCGCGGAAGCGAGACACACGAGCATTCGTGCGGCTATATACAGGGTGCTCCGATATATATTACACACATGTTATCAATCATAGAAAATTCTTCATAAAAAAAAGTTGTATCAAAATATTTAATGTTAATAAATTGCACAAATATTCCATCAATTTTACGCTTTAGTTTTCGTCATTTTTATATTTCGTTGTTACGTGAGAGAATACTTTTTTTTACGAAATGGTGATTTATAAACTTAATGTGACAGGAGTAATATATTAACATAACGAAGAGATATACATCTATATGAATACGACAGCAATAATTACGTCAGAAAAACCATCGTTCGTGACCACCAACGCGTAACGCGCGTACAACTCAACCCACGCGTTACAAATTGTCTCATTAGATAAGAGAAGACCCTTGACGCATTTCGGATGAATCCTGCATTCGGAAACACCCCGTACGTAACGACACACGGTTCGGTAGTTGATTAGATTTAAAAGAATGCTCCGTCACCTGCACTGTTGAAAGGAGACTAGGGCCCAGAAGCGACGGTGGGGAAGAAACTTCACGGTGACGAGAAAGAGGGGATGGATGAAGGCGGGACGGAAAGGATAAAGAGGAAAGAAGAGGTGGCGGAGTGGTGTGCCCGATCGTGAGCAACGAGGGGTCCGGGCATGAGGCCTCAGCGATCACTGACCGCTTTCGCCGATCCCTGCCGCCAACTAGCCACCTTTCAGCGACGCAGCCATTGGGGCATCCTCCTGCTTAAGGTCCATTCACATCGCATCACTAATCAAACCTGACAAAAAAGAAGCGTTCACGGTGCTTACGGTTGCCCGTAAAATCGTGGAAATTGCCTTTATCGGCACGGGACCAGCTGCCGCAAGATTAAAAGTGGGATTTATGTAATTGTCGATAATGAAATGTCCGGATCGTTAGGATTAAAGATAATGACGTTTAATCTTCATATATATAAGGGCTATCGAGAGACAACGCGTTAAAATTCGACTCGCAAATTTAAATGCCCTTGTTGATAATTTTAGAAATAACGCTCGTAAATTTTGCGAAATTTCTCGCGAGTGGCCTCGGGGATCGATGTGATTCCACACTGAAACGGATTAAATCAAGTGTAATACGCGCAAGACGATGAGATCCTTGAATACGTCTGTATCATATTCGTTTGCGCGATATACCGTAATTGGGCGGCGGGAAAGTAATATCGGCCAAAAATTGCATCCCAACGAAAGCCCCGGCGAAAATAATTTCGAGAATGAAGCAACTCTTTCCCGGAAGAAGTCGAGATATTTGTGTAATGAGAAAGAATGGCGCGAACTCTCGCGAGATAATCGAGGTAGTTAGCAGGTTGCAGTTTCGTTTTACAACACGTGATACATGGTTAATCCGCGAAACATCAGATACCCGGAGAATAATATTACAGGCGCTTATATAGATGGCTAAAATGCAGTCCACTGTTGCCAATTACCAGAGCGAGAGGGAACTTGGCGGAAGAGTGAAATATAATACCGATTTAAGCCTCGCGGCCTTGGTAACGATCTTGTAATAACGATCAATGAACGCGGGTGATAAAATGCACGCTTAATTGCGAAATCGGTAGTCCACTCGCATTATCGGCAATAACAATGACGGGGACGAATTTTATCCTTCTCTTCTCAAGTGAGCCATTATAACGTAGAACAAAGAGACTGAAGTAGCCATTACTATCGTATGAATATTGTGTAATTAAAAAAAAAAACATATTATCATATATATCCGACAAGAACATCAATGTTTATAATTTCTGTTATAAATTCTTATCAAATGATGCGCAAAGTTGAGTTTGTGTCTAAAGAGTCACAAAAGTATGTTCTTTTGATTTTTTATTATAATTTTGTTTTATTTTCTTCTCTCATCTAATCCACATGTACTTCGTTTCAACGTTCTGTTTACGGTCATCTGAGTTTCGATGTGAACGGGAGTTATTGGATCGCAGATTTGAGCAATGACAATGTATTTAAGAGACCCTCTTAGCAATAGGAAACCCTACTTTGGACAGGTAAAAGTAACAAATCATTTTTTAACGACGAAGGGACCACACTACCGCTAAGCGCTGTTTTCTGAAGGGCGGAGTTTCCTACAGAAGGCCACTTGACATGCTACTTCATACACAATTCCTGACACAATGCACCTAAGTCGTTTTACGATCAACGGGATAAAACATATATAAATTCGATGAATACGGTTGAAAAACTGGATTGTAAGAAATTAACTCATGTTTTTTTCTTTACAGATTTAATTTAAACTTTTGTTTAAAACGCCGAAAAAGAAAAACGTAATTTTCTTCCCTAAATAAAAACTTGCGAATAAATTCGAAGTAAAATATAATTGGATGTATTAAGTGGTAAGTACTAAGCAAAAATTAATTAGTGTAAAATGTAAATCGGCGGAACAAGCGTTTTTATCGAAGGCAGATGACCGCAAAAAAAAGAGAGAGAGAGAGAGAAAGACACACACGGTGGGACGCGACGGAAATTTACAAAAAGTATTTGCGAAACGCGGGACGACCGGAATACGAACGTAAACGGGATTCGCACAAAGGCATCGGGCAAACATCCTTTTTCGAGGTCCCATTCTACGTGACAGAATCGTAGAAACGATGTGAGAACAGATGACGGCAGCGTGGCGAGGTTTCGCGAACGGATCGAACAGCAATACGACGAAAGAATAGAGAGGAAGAGAAGAGAAAAGGGAAGATCGACAGGAGCGGGCGGGCGGAGAGAGGAGTCATGAAGAAAGAGAGAGAAAGAGTGATGGAGGGAACACGAGATGCGGAGAGCGTGCGGTGTGCAAAGAAGAAGAGAAGAGCGATGAACGGAGAAGGATGCGCGATGGAAAAAACAGGAAAGAGAGACAAGGAAATGAGAACGCAGCGGAGACGGAGGAGGCCTTCGCAGATGCGAAGGAGCCACTGTAAGGACCCGAAGAGTGTACCTGTCTTGTTTTTATAGGCTTGCCAGAACGTTGGGACCTGGGTACGTGAACGACGACGACGAGGACGACGACGGCGGCAGCGGCGGCGGCGGCGACGACGACGACGACGACGACGACAACGACGAAGACGACGACGACGAAGAGAAGAAAGAGGAGAAGACGGAGAACGCCGGTGGGAGAAGGAAGAACGGCCAAGGAGAAGCGGTGAGAGGCGAGGTACGGAAGGTGGCAGCCGGTGCGGTGGGCGGCGGAGCGAAGGGTAACGGAGCCCGCCGGGGCCTTACAACTCCGCGAACCAGTCCTGGAGGAACCGCGGGCCCTACCGGAGCCGTATACGCGCGCGTCATACTCGTCGTCGCGCAGACTTTTCGGCGTCCGCGAGATTTTTCTCACCGTTTAAAAGAGACGATAATCTCGAGGTCGCTGAACTCGCTCCCTCTCGTTCCTTCTCTTTCTCATCCGTCGTATTGTCCCGTTTTGCTCGTTCAGAAACGTATGCGGTAAAACTGGCAATAATGAAACCGCCGGGATCGTAAGATGCGCAGTGAGATGCGAGAGATCGTTCGCGCGACAAAGAGAGGCGAGAGAGAGTGATATGGATGATGTGAGGTAAAGGATTACAGTGACCGGTGGTGGTTTAAATGGATCGACGCCGGTTTCACGAGACGCAGCAGCGTTGCAGTTGGAATTAACGTGAAGAGGAAGGGGTCGCGGGGAGGCCCGCCACATTGATGGGACATTGATCACGCGCGGCGTAAAGATGCGGGGTAGTCCTGCGTTCTTCGCCATACTGTTGGGCACGATATTCGGTGTCCTGGGCGCGTCTCTGAGCAAAGCGCTCAGGTACAAAGCGCCGGACGAATGCAAGTGGGTACCGACCGGCGACGCTGAGGACGACGTGTCGCTGGTGTGTCGCCTGCGAACCATCAACAGCGAGCTGGAGAACACGAACTTCAGCGTGATACAGCCGCAGCACACGGTGCGCCTGCGGCTGGAATGCAGCGACGCGCTCTTCTACCAAAGTTCCCTGAGCGCCGGCAGCTTCAGGCCGTTGGTGGAGCTGCGCGAGCTTGTAATCGAATACTGCAAGATCGGCAACCTGTCGGATGACGCGTTCAAAGGTCTGCGCGAGCTGCGCAATCTCACCGTGAGAACGCACAATACCGACTGGTCCGCCATGGCGCTTGACGTTTCCCCGGGCGCCTTCACCGACGAGCTTCGAAAGTTGGAGAAGCTCGATCTCGGTGAGAACAATATGTGGAGCATACCTGAAGGCGTGCTATGTCCGTTAGTTAACTTAGAGATCTTGAATTTGACGAGAAACCGGCTCAGAGACATCACGGGTTTTCGTTTCACCACCGGAGCGAAATGCCTGACAAATCTCAGGGAACTCGATCTCAGCAACAACAGCATTGAATCACTGCCGAGCGCGGCGTTCTCCGGTTTGACGAGGTTGCACAGCCTGGACCTGCGGAGCAACGCCATCGCCTTTATGGCGGACCGCGCGTTCGAAGACCTCTCCTCGCTGGCCATCTTGAAACTCGCCGACAACCGTCTCGCCAGCTTGCCGCCGGAGCTGTTCAGCGATGCGAGAGATATTCAAGAGATTCATCTGAGAAATAATACGCTGAGTGTCTTGCCGCCCGGATTGTTCAGTGAGTTAACGCAGTTGCTAGTGCTAGACCTGTCGCACAACGAATTAACGGCGGAATGGGTGAACGCGGCTACATTCAGTAGTTTAGTGCGTTTAGTGGTGTTGGATCTTTCGAGTAATCACATCGCGCGCCTCGATCCGACTGTCTTTCGCGATCTGTACAGCTTGCAAATTTTACGACTGCAAGAAAATCTACTGGAGAGTTTACCGGAGAACACGTTCTCGGCGCTTTACAACTTGCACACGTTGCTGCTCAGCGACAACCAGTTGACCAGCATCGACGCGAACACGCTGAGCGGCCTCTACGTGCTCAGTCTCCTCTCGCTGGACAACAACCGGTTGCATACGATACACTCGGGCTCCCTAAGAAACGCCTCGTCCCTGCAGGACCTTCATCTTAACGGTAATCGGCTGACATCGGTACCGGATGCATTGAAAGCCACTCCCCTCCTGCGCACCCTCGACCTCGGCGAGAATCTCATCTCCGAGATACCAAGCGGCACCTTCGATCACGTAGCGCAGCTGTACGGACTTCGATTAACCGAAAATCATATCGGCAATCTGACGAAGGGCATCTTCGATCGCATCAAAGAACTCAAGATTCTCAATCTCTCGCGAAATCGCATACAGTACATTGAACCCGGCACGTTCGACGAGAATCTCAATCTACAGGCGATACGTCTAGACGGCAATCAGCTGACCGACATCACCGGCCTCTTTACGAAATTGCCGAACCTCGTCTGGTTGAACGTCAGCGACAACAAGCTAAAGTGGTTCGACTACGCGATGATACCGACCGGGCTTCAGTGGCTGGACATACACTCCAACGAGATCCGGGAGTTAGGGAATTACTTCGAGATCGAGACGCAACTACAATTGAGTACTTTCGACGCGAGCGAGAACAAGCTCACCGAGATCACCGGCAACGCAATTCCCATGAGCATCGAGCTGCTGTTTCTCAACAACAATCTGATCTCCAAAGTGCAGAGTTATTCGTTCTTCAAGAAACCCAATTTGACTCGCGTGGACTTGAAGGGTAATCAGATTCGAAATCTTGAACCTTACGCGTTGCGCATAAGCGCCGTACCGCCGGATAGAATGTTGCCCGAGTTTTACATCGGCGACAATCAATATCTTTGCGATTGCACCATGGAATGGCTACAGCGCGTTAATCGGCAAAATCAGTCGCGCGTGCAGCCGCGCGTGATGGACCTCGACAGCATCTATTGCAAACTGCTATACGACCGCGAGCACGCTTTTGTGCCGCTGGTCGAAGCGTCACACTCGCAGTTTCTCTGCAAGTACGAGACTCATTGCTTCGCGCTGTGTCATTGCTGCGATTTTGACTCGTGCGACTGCGAGATGATGTGTCCGCAGAACTGCACGTGCTACCACGACCAGTCGTGGTCGGCGAACGTTGTGGATTGCTCGAATGGCGGCCATATTAATCAGTTACCCGAGCAAATACCAATGGATACCACGCGTCTCTATCTAGACGGCAACGACCTGCGGATCGTGGCGAGTCACACGTTCATCGGCCGCAAGAAGCTTACGGCGCTGTTTCTCAACGCGTCCAACGTCGAGATCGTGCAGAACAGGTCGTTCAACGGAATGCGCGACCTCAAGGTTCTGCACCTGCAGGATAACAGAATACGCGAACTGCGCGGTCAAGAATTCGAGGGATTGGACGCGTTGGTCGAGTTGCATCTGGAGCGTAATCGCATCGCTACGGTCGGCAACGACACGTTCGTGCCGCTGCGTTCTCTCAAAATTCTCCGAATGCAAAACAACCGTTTGATCACCTTGGCGATTTGGACGTTGCCCGGTTCCATTGAGGTCAGCTTTGCCGGAAACCCATGGACTTGTGACTGTGACTACCTTCAAAGTTACCGCGAGTGGGCGCGCGACTCTAGTGTCCGCGTCGCGGACGCATCCGCGTTACGCTGCGTGTACAATATCACGGAATTCGAAACGTTCGGTGATGAAGTGTTCGCGGACGACGAGTTTGGTTTCTCAGTGATGGCGGACGCGAGCGAGCATACCGGTAACGAGAGCGTTTGCACTGGCGCGATTCCCGTCGACAACGATATCCACCGTAACTACACCAAGACTATCATCGAGAAGCAGGTTCTGCAAGATTATTTGCCTCTACTGGTGGCGACCTTGGCCAGCTCTGTCATCGTCATCCTCCTCTGTCTGCTCGCTTTTGTGTTTCGTCATGAATTGCGCGTGTGGTTTCACTCGCGTTTTGGCGTGCGAATATTCTATCGGAATCACGAGGTCGATCGGGACGATCGAGACAAGCTCTTCGACGCCTTCGTGAGTTACAGCTCGAAGGACGAGGCGTTCGTCGCGGAGGAACTGGCGCCTGTGCTCGAAATGGGAAACCCGTCGTACAAGCTGTGTCTTCATTATCGGGATTTTCCGGTCGGTAGTTTTCTGGCCGACACCATCGTGCAGGCGGTAGAGTCGTCGCGCAGAACGATAATGGTGCTGTCGGAGAATTTTATCAAGTCCGAGTGGTGCCGCTTCGATTTCAAATCAGCGCACCATCAGGTGCTGCGGGACAGACGACGCCGGCTCATCCTCGTGCTAGTCGGCGACGTGCATCAGCGCGATCTCGACCCGGATATACGACTATATCTAAAGACGAACACTTATTTGCAGTGGGGCGACAAGCTCTTCTGGGAGAAATTACGGTTCGCGTTGCCGGACGTGCCGAACAATCAACGGACGACGCAGCAGAGGACGAGGCAGCCGCCGCCGGTCCGACGGCAGCACAACAACAGAACGTCCAACAGTTCACGCACCGTGTCCGTCCATATATGATCCGCTCGAGTGCGACTCGCGTGTGAAGTGCCGTTTGTGTCAAGTGTAAACGACAGTGCTCTCAACCACGACAGTACGAAGACATGTGTGAGACGAGCTCGCGTCGAGAATTTGCGCGCTCGCAGCTTCAGCGAGTGTTCAGACGGTGCAATACAATTACGAAGTGTGTAAATAACGGAGAATTTATATGTATAAATAAAGCGTGCCCCCCGGGCACACACGATAAAAAGGAGCCACGTGTATATAGACGGTGTGTGATGAGAGTGAAAAGATATTTAAGATGGTCTTGTGCGGAACGTGAATTGGTCCCGGTGTGAAAAATCCGTAGAATTTTGTAAATTGAAGAAGCTCACACGGTACGAGCGTCTGGCGATGAGGGCGGACAGCCAAAACTCGTTGTAAATAAAACGTCGTCCGTTCGATCGCGAATTACGATCGACCCGACACCGTTATTCGGCTCATGGTACGTGCGATGATCGCGTATGAGTGTGTGTGTGTGTGTGTGTGTGTGATGATGGTGTGTAAATGTGTGCGATCGTGGAACGAAGGAGATGCGTCTGCTCCCATTGCCGCTACTGGTAACAGCGTGTACTTAAATTTTTTTACTCTTTGTGTACTGTGTGAAATATTCTCTATATCGAATAGTGCAAACAGTTTCGCCAATTCTGGATTTCTCGGTCAAAAAGTGTCGCGTGACAATTTTGACTCAGTTGGCAGCCATCTCGCGCGTGCGTGGTTCCACGATCAAGCTCTCTCTCCCAGTAAAATATTGCTTAATATCGAGCCGAGTGTTCTCTCGCGACACTACGTGCACCTGCTCGAACATCAACTCGACTGTTTAGATAGCCTGGCTTCGAGCCACTGCGCGCCAACAGTGATACTTCCTAATTATAATTATTATATGTATATTTAATTGTATTTACATTTCTCTCTATCACTCCCTATCTGGTTGATGACGAATTTCATCCAGGAAAATACGAGCTTACGAGCGTTTCAGCAGGCAGAGACTGACGCTCCACGGTGATAACGAAACATTTTCGGCGTGAACATTGTAAAGTATTACTTTATTCTCTTATTTATTTCGTTTCGATCGATAAAGAGACTTTATGCGACTTGTGGAAGCGCTGCGTTTTGTAACAATACAAAAAAAAACGAAGGCAATTGTTGTGTAACTAAATTTGTTTACTGTTTTGATTAATAAATTACTTTAAGAAATGTTATGTGTTTGAGTTCGACAGTCTCATTATCGAGCAAACATGAATTAAATGTTAACTTTATAATCTCGCATTTATAAATTTTTATTTTGATTTGCAAATTTGTTATATGACGTAAAACTATAATATACATATATGTATTTTTCTATACAAATAACAGATGCGCAAAACTTGCGCCTTCTTGCTCATTGTACATACAGCTGACGCAATGTAATAATTTTAGCACGGTGAAAACGTCCCTCAGCGCACTCGATAGAAGATAAAACAAAACTTTACGTAACGTATCTTATCCGAAATGCGACAGTCGAATTCAAAGCGTGCGTGAATTATGCAAGAAAACTGAAGCGCTGCTACAGATATTCGAAATGTACAAACGTCTGAAATTGTCGTCTTTTTTAAGCTTTTCTCGCAAGCGATTATCGTGTTTCGCAATCTATTCGACAACAAGAAAGAAAACCGATATTACTTTAGAATAAAAACTATGACTCTTCTCTCTGAATAATAAAACATTCTATTTTTATGTTTTTAATCCTCTTGTTTCATTCCGATTTTTGCCTCCTTCACACATGTATCGCACAAATTACCTTTCAGTTATACACATCTTTTGAAAATTTTTCATGAAATTGTCAGAAATAATTTTGAAGAAAACACGTAGTTTATCAAATATCCTTTCGCATAACCCGTTGCACGTTTAAATTTCGAATTGCATTTTTCACAGGCGAAAAGATATTGTTTTTCTTCAAGCGTACTTACCGAGAGAAATATCAAAGGCGCATTAAAGCGAACTTACAAACGGTATGCAATGCACTTCCTCATTTTCAGTTAATGCAATAAAATGACAAAGCGGTGTATACGCGATATTCACGGCATAACAATTAAATCTACCATTTCGATGCAGGCTTTGTGCACCATTTTCTGAGGTAGCTCGCGAACAAAACAATACTTTATGTTAATCGAGTCACGTCTGTATACATTGTCATCACGTCTTGTTACTGTTGCGTCAGCAGAATAAGTAATATCTACCTGAAGATAATAGAAAAGAGACAATTCGGTAGAGAGAAGACAGTTAAGAGAAAATTCCAGTTCTACGCTCTTTCACACCAAACCGAGTTAAATTCTCCGGTCGTATTATTACTTCATCACTAATGCAAAATGAAAAAAAATATAATTGAAAAAACATTAACACGGTGCGAAAAATTCCAGCTGAACACACGCACGCGCGTGTGTGTGTGAGAGAGAAAAATAAATGTTTATATTTGAGTCAAGTTCATACACGAGTATTTCAAAAGATACAGAACAAGGGAAACGTGCAAGGGAAAGCAATAATTGCTAGTTTCTACTACGATATCATAAAAAAAATGGGCTGGGAAAATGTAAAAATCGGACTTGTCAGTTCTGATCTTTGATCTTATCGCGGCGGAGCGGCATGCGAAACCAGCGGGTAAGAGCGCGCGAGCTAAATGAGCGACGCTAGAAAATTGTAGCTACGTGAAAACGTTCGCAAACGCGAGCCGCATTATTGCACGGCTCACGATTGCGTGTAATCGTCGTGTAATCAATGCTAGTAGTATAACAGCTGCGTGTGAGCAATTTGATCGGTGCGCGAAATAATGTGGTAGCGCCATCGGCAGCTACAATTGCAAATATCAAGAAATAACGTAAATATCGCGGTAACGGCGAATGTGGCACCATAACTTTTACATGCAGAGAAAGAAGCGCGAGTCCCACCCCGCGCCGTAACTGCATTTTGTGGTTTGAATCTAATGACACGCGGAATTCGCAATCGCATTGTTGTACTCAGCGGCGCTCGTCATTCCAGCAATGATCGCGTGCTTGTATCTAACATTCTGAGCTCTCCGCATCTCAGCGTAGATTATAGATCGATCAGAACGTCTACTTCGAGAGAACGCAACGCAATATCGGTTATCATCACGTGCGTGGCATTTAAGCCGGCTCGACAAATTATTTCCGTCGACTAATCAAACAATCGACATCGTGATTACGTTATCCGATATCTATTTTGCCGCGTCCGTGTCGAAACTCATCGTCATCATCCATTTGTAATCGCATTAGCTTCAATCTTTATTAGATTTTCTATACACAGTGTTATGTGCACTTTATTACGTGCATTTTTCTATGAAGCAGATTTTTTGAAAATATATTATTTCCTCGTAAAGTAATATGAAAAAATCACTTGTAGCAAAAACATTCTAATCGCGACTGTTCGGGAAATGGCGATCGGCCAGTGATAGCGTAGCGAGCTTCGGCGAGAGGCCGTAACGAGTCCGACGCTCCTCTATCTGCCGATCCTGTTCTGCCACTTTTGTAATTAACAAGTCCTTAACAACATATCACGAGTAAAACACTCTTTGCATCGCTTATGTTCTTCGCTGAAAGCCCTTGGTCAAGGCGGGCTCGTGGCCGTCAACCAGTCCCCTCGAGTGTAATTTAATGTACTGAGAAAAATCTCTGGAGTTGCCAGAGTGCGTCCGGCGCGACGACGCGCGCGGCGAAAGAGGAAGAAATTACACGAACGGGAGGGCGAGAGATCGCGAGATTACAATAGTCCAGATACTCTACTCGAGGCGCGCGGACCCGAGAGAGTGGCGAAAGGCAGCGGGAATCAGGCGTGTCTATCTCGTCAGGATAAATAATGAACCGGACAAAGACGGTTTTTGAAAGCGCGCGCGCGTACTGATAATGGAGTTCGTACAAACCTGTTCCAGTTTGTTCGTTTATTCGATTTAATAAGACGAGAAACGGGGGCCGCGCGCGAGCGGCTGGCAGTAGCGACGAGGAAAATTAGCGTGAATCTGAAATTAAAACAGCGCCCATAAAATTGATACGGCCGACGTCTTTATACGTCGCGCGGCGTTTGAATCGTCGACGACAAGAACCCGCCAGGGCTCGGGCAATAATACAACACGCGTTTCCTCCGAGAAGAGCACATGCGCCGATATCGCGCGCGCGAGTGCCAGACGAAATAACAACTCGCCAGCGATAAAACGAAAGGAGAGTGAAGAATTTTAATGCGCATAAAATCGGAGGAGTCTTTACTGCGGAAAATAACGAATTAGGAGCGCGCGATAAAGCGCGGGTGCGCTTATTCTTCTCGTTGCACTTCTTTTCGTCCCAGCCGGCCTTCCCATAATAAGCCGTCCGGCTCCTACGCTTTGCAGCTCGCTAACTCGTTCGCGCAGTAGTTAAAGCAGCTACCCGAGAATGCGGCCCGCATGCCTGCCAGCCTTCTTCCACAGCCTTCTTTCCGCCGCCTCTCGTCCGCCAATCTGGTCGCCAATGCTTTATGCGGTATAACGGAATTTCTGTTTGCTCTATTCGCCGCAACGGCACACGGCCGTTCCTACGCCTCGTCTCGATGTCCTCGTCTTCGTCCTCGCTGTCATCTCGAAAAGCCATCGGATGAGAGCCAGGCCATTCCGGATGTTCGCGTTTTCGCGCGAATCGGCACCGGCGATCTCAAATTGCCTTGCGTCGGATCATTGAGCAGCCGCGTTTTATCACAAGCCGTTGAATCGTCGAAGCCGCAAATCGCTCCCGTATTCGCGAGAGCGCACCGCGGAAGGACGCGCGAGTCGTTTACTTCTCGAGGTTTCGCAAAATTCAACCGGTACTCGACGACGTTAAATCATGCGAATCAGAATCTGTGTCACCTCTCTGTGATTACGTTACAGCTCGGTTGGAAAACCGAGCGAAGCGTTGCGCGACACGACCGCTGTATAATCGCTCGCGACGTACCTAATTGCGCTTAATTGTGATTAATCTAGATAATTCCTGAGAACTCGGACGCGCTTATCTCTCATTCTTTCGGATTTAGGAGAGTTGCGAGAGTAATTGCGCAACGATTTAGTCTACAGTACGTATTTTGATACAGCAGTGTAATTGTATGTCGGAGTTGTGCTTTATTTGTGCCGTTTCGAGAAGATCGAAATCGAGCGCAAAAAGTTCTGTCTTCAATTACCAGGCATTGCTTGTCTCTCCCGAGACTGTGAACTTTATATTGCGCGGATTGCGTGTACACGCAAATGTTGCCGCGTAGTTCAGTTATCGCGATTGAGAATTTAGTGTCCCGCTTGCATTGTCTCGCGAAGCGAATGCATATTTCACACGTGCGCTATCCTTGCCGCCGCCGCCGCCGCCACCGCCGCCACCGCCGCCGCTGCGGCTTGCTGATTATGCGAACTGTGGTATAGTCAGTTATCCCCTTCTTGCATATACATCGTCGCGGCGTGCAACGCGAAAGCACAACGCGAGGGCACCGTGTAACATCATAATAACTCGCAGAAATCATCCGTACTCTTTGTGCGTGAACTTTCAGATGTGGGCAAAAGCAAAATAATGACGTTAAAGCGCGCAATGTTGCCATGGAATTCCAGGTAATGACCGACAATTAATTTCGCTCCCTTTTACTTCGTCACAAAGAATATCGCGTCCTTTGTGCCCCTCGCTCTATTCTCGAAGCGCGACACGCATATCTCGATTAATGACTACTCTTGATATAAAAAATTAAAAAACGCCGCTGTGTACAGGCTAATGTTAATATATAGGTCACTTTCTGCTTTCAAAATTATAATTTGTACTTTTTTTGAGCGTTGTGTAAAAACACAGTACAGGAAGCAGAAGTTGATTATTACGCGTTGAAAAAAAAAAAAACGATGAATAGCACGTCGTCAAAAATAAATATAAAATAGTTCGCAATTTACTCCGAAGTTGCCTTAAGCCGTTTAGCGTAGCTAATGCAGCAAACGAGCTCCCAGTTTATCTTGTCAAACGCAATTAATCAGAAGCGCGCGGCAGATAAATTTCTCTCGAAAGCAGATACGACGTCGATTTCTCGTCATCGATGATGAAGTCGGTTTGACGAACCGTGAGCGGAGAAGATATTTCGTGATTTCACGATCGACCCGTTACAACGCGCGATCGTCGGATAAATGGACTTTTAACGAACCCCGCGAACGCCGAATAATTCGATTTATTAAGCAAGTGTTGCCTCGTCCCGAACAAGCATCGCTAATATTGACGGAGGTGGATCTGCCTGTCGTTGCGGGACTGACACCGGCGGAAGAAACATTTCGAGAGGCGAGAGAGCAGCGCGCGCGAGCACACGATCGATTACAAAGCACTTTCGCGGAACATTGAATTGGATCCAACCTCTTCGAGTTCTCTCTCGGACGCGAGGAGAGGTCGAAAATACAAGTTGCACCGACCGACCGACCGACCGACCGACCGACCGGTGACTTTAATCAACTCTTTGCGAGCGCAACTGCTCGAGAGTCGCGGGGCGTGTCGAGCCATTCCAGCGCTCGTGTATGGTTACAAGTGCGGCTCCGGGAGAGACTCGGTAATAATACCATGGGACCCCGTTGACACGCTTCGTTGCGCATTAAAGCCAGCTGACAATCCGCCCAACTTTTCGACATTTTCAGACCACGCTGTAGATACCGTCGTAGTGCACTCGCCATTCCAGACTTGCGGTACCCCTTAACTGCAACAGCGATAACACAGACTCCG